CATTTCCAAGATTACTAGTTGCTTTAGCAAACCTTGATTATTATATGCATGCCTCTATGAAACCCATGATCAATGAATAATGGTTTGCATGTACTCTTAAGTCCACAATGTTAGATATAATTTTTTGGGCTGGGGAGCACACCCATATAAATGGTGGAGTCCTTACCTTCCCTCGTCCTTTCTTTCTGATGATTACTTGGAGTATTTGTTTTTTTCTTTTTAGCTAAAGACACCTTATTTTTATTGTGCCCCTGTGCATCAGAGACATGCACAGCCATGCTGGTCTGTCCTGACACAGGAGTGACAATCACCTAGAGCAAAGCAAGAACAAATAATGCACAAGCAAGGAATCCAGATGCATCAGGGATCTGCTTTAAAAAGCAGTGGTAAAATCCCCAATAAGCAGTACACATAAATGTGCATATTAGCATATTTTTTCTTCTAGATGAACTGAAACAAAGGAACATAGAATTTTGCCCTGTATTTAGCAGATGATCTTCCTATAACACTGTTCATAAAGGAACTATTCCCTTGTAGCTCTGTCAAATATACGATAAACACAGGTAAGGCAAGATAAAGATAGAAGTTTGGCATGGAAGTACAAACTCTGAAAGAAAAGTATAGTCATATTAAAATATGCTTATAAAACATACTAAGCATTGTTTAATCTACTACTCCAATAAAAACTGGCCAAATTATGCTTTCAGTTAAACCTGTATAATCTTATGGACCTCAGTCAGGTTGGAGAGAGGATTGACTAAATTCAGCAAGATTTAGTCAATTTTGCTTTATAGTGTGCGTTCTGGGCCCAGATTAGAACAATCTAATGAATTGTCACCTCAGAATTGACTTCACATCATTTTACGTGAAAGAATCAAATTCTCTCTCACCACTCTATTTAAAGTTCAGAGGTTTAGTTATGGTGCATTAAGCAATGAATCTGTTCTCTGTGGTTTCATTTTGAACATAAATGAGTAAGGAGCAGTTTTACTTTGTCTAATATACAGACATTCTCTAAACAAGGTTTGAACTGATCTTTTTAATTCTGTACAAGATTAGCATTCACTAATGTACATAAGCACATGCTTAAATATTAAGATTGTTAATTATGCCATTGAAATAATTGTGGAAGTGTGAGAAAAAGTGATCACAGATCATGCTCCTGTAAACTGCTGAAAATGGATGCTAGTTCTACAAATTTTGTTCTGAAAAATCACAATACTGAGAGATCATTTTGGGGGAAAAAAAGAACATGGCATATTAGTATATTCCAAATCATATTAAGATAATTTAGGATTGTGAAATAACTGAGAGTACTCTATGCTTAGTTAAGAAACCACTAAAATTCTTTGATGGATCAGGGATAAACCAAATCCTGCTTGCTTTATGTAAGGAATTTTGACTGAAGCCAGGCACTTTAGATAAACTTTAGATCAGAATCTTCAGCCTTTTGTCAAAATTGGTTAAAAGTTCAATTGCAAAAATGACCAAATTCAATATTGATAAATGTGTTGAAAGTTGTATCATTAACAGAATGTAGAACTTGTTGATTTCACTCATGTGTACGTCCCCTTCTTTTCATTTTCTGATATACAGTTGTACTCCTTGAGATTTTGCTTTGTGTGTCAGCTCAAGCAAGTGCAGATAAAAATCAGATCACAATCTGTTAGAAATTGCATGTTTGGTGGTATTTCAACCATGTTAGATGTATTGAAAATACCTGTCAAATTCATAAACCTTTTGGGAGAACCTGGACTCAGTTTTAGATGGTAAACAAAACCCCAAATATCAAACCCCCTCAAACTTTAAATCTTGACGTTTTGCAGCATTCTAACTTATAGAAAAAGAATCAGATCAAACTTTTAAATTTAAACCAACAAAATTATACTGTTACACTTGAAAGACTGCCATCCTGCATCCAACTCGCATGAATAAGGGCTGCAATAGGCCTCAGCTGGGCAAATGTTTAATTTACCAGGCATACAGCACTTACCTTTTGTTCTTCACAGAGCTGCTTCTATTACAGTAGGGTGACTGAGAGACTGTAGGGTTTGTGGGTTCACAGTGGTTGAGATAGTATAGAAGATAAAAGTTTGTGAACAAAGTGAACACAGATCGTGCAAAAAAAATTAGGCTGTTGTGTAAGATCAGTTGTGCAAAACAATATAGTCCAGATGATATTAAGAAATTTTACTATCAAAATCAGAGATTAAGTTAATAACTATTTTACACCACAGGGCTGAGTGTATATAGGAATTTAATTGCCTCACCTCTTTTAAGAATAAACAAAGGCATTTTTATAAAATCATTGCCACAGATATTACTATTGCTGCTAAAGGGCAGTTCTTGCAAACAGATCCAAGTTTTGGCTTAAAGGTTAAGGAAAATTTTAAACTGAAAACAGGTACTCTAGGATTCAATAATCACCCATTTTGTACTGCCGCAATGAGAAATAATACAGAGAATACAAAATAATGAAAAGCATAGGTCAGTCATTAGTGATTGTGCCTGTAGAGACTGGGGACACCCAATGTAACATAACTGAGTTTGACAAGTTAACTGATCATTTTGGAGCTACATGCTGTCTTGTTCCCATTCTTTCCCTACTTTATAATAATAATAATAATAATAAAATTATGGATAACAATTAACTTCAGTGGATAAATTGCTCAACTTGAGAGGACTCACTCCAGGCTTCCACCCCCACTAGCCGGGAAAACAATTCAAACTTTCTGATGCAAGAAAGGAGGGAGGAGCAGGAGGGAGATTTTTGCAGCACAAGGCAGCCACAGCTTCCATGGACCAAGGCCAATAGGAATCAGGAGTCCAAAATGTGTGACACAAGGGGTGCTGCCATTTTCTGATACAAACCCCATGGGAGGGCAGTGATGGAAAAGCTGTTTTTCCCTTTGGATGAATTCCTTCCTGGAGTCCAGCAGGCAACACAGTGTCACAGCATTATATTGCATCAAACAGTATATCAACCAAGTTCTGCTGTGCTTCTGGACTATAATCAGCTCAGAGACCTGTTTTTATACTCCAATAAGCATATAGCAATAGTGAGTCAGGGGAGTGGGGTATGTATATACAGGGATGTATTTGGTAGCTGTGTTGGTCTGAGACAAAAAGCAAATGCAAAACTCTAGAACTCTTGGTTCAGAGATGATACCTTTTAAGATAAAAAGTATCATCTCTGAACCAACAGTTCTACAGTTTTGCATTCTTCTGTGTGTGTATACACACACACACACATGCACATACACACAATACATATATGTATAGTAGGGGTGTGCAAAGCAGGCCCTATTCAATTCGAATTCAGATCTGGCCTGAATCAGGGACAGTGATTCGATTCATTGATTCGGATCAATGTCCCTGATTCAATTTGGCCGAATCTGAATCTGAAGATTCGATTCTGATTCAGAGAACCAGCGATTCAGGCATAGACACAGCTTTAAAAGTTTTTTCTACATACCTTGAGGTAGCAGGCATGGCTCTTGACCGCTGCGATGCTGGAGTCCATGGAGCATCTCACAGCAGTGCAGGGGACCCTCCAAGTGCTCGGCAGTGAACCCAGAAGTGGACCAGAAGTACTTCCAGTCCACTTCCAGGCCTGCCGGGGAGCGTGCTGGGGGCCCCCTTGCTCTTCCCCAGTTCAGCAATTGACTGCAGGAGGAACCCGGGTGCCCCCCTGCCCCAGGATGCACCAGTCACTAAGCCACGGGGGTGCAGGGGGAGCCCCCCAGCTCACTCCCCGGCAGACCCGGAAGTGGACCAGAAGTGCTTCTGGTTCACTTCTGGGTCTGCTGCTGAGCATGCTGGGGAGCCCCCCATGCTTCTGTGGGACACTCCATGTGCCCCAGCATTGCAGCATTCATGAGTACCTGCTACCTAAAGGTATGTAGAAAAAACATTTAAAGCTGTGTCTATGTCCGAATTGACAAATCTTTCCGAATCTCTCTGAATCGATTCGGAGGGTTCCGATTTGATTCAGAGAAATTAAAGGGTCCTCTGATTTGATTTGGATTCAGAGATTTGGCCACCAGATTGGGTCATATCTGCTGAATTAAATCAGGGTTTGAAGCTTCGCACAGCCCTAATGTATAGCATATTTCATCATTAAACATAACAGTAATTAATCATCATAATGTCCTTGTCAGGTAAGTATCTAAATAGTATTTTTTCCACTTTACACATGAAAAAAACAGCACAGCAAGAAATTAAGTAACTTGCTCAAGTTAACTTAATTGAAGTCACGGTAGGGATAAATTTGGGACATGTTTTTATCAGGAGCATCAGCTCTCCTAGTAAAAAAAAAGCATGAGCATATAGGTGGGCACACTTTCTCTTGGAAAAAAAAGGCAGTTTCTGGAGAAAAGTTACCTCTCTAACATGGTAGAGGTTGCTCTCCAGAGAGTCTCTTTCAAGAGAATGAATGTCTGGACATTCTCTGGTCAGTGAATCAGTGGCAGAGGTAGAATTAAGAACTCAACATTCCCAACTCCTATCCCCATGCCTAGTCCACTAGACCACAGCACAAATAACAACAGCAGAAATTCAGGCGTCATCTCTTACATCCCTTTGAAATAAGTTTATAAATCTAAGTTTATAAATATAACATATAATCATCTTATTTTTAAATCAGCCCCTACTATTTTGCTATTCAGTGCTAATTTTTTGTGATGTTAATATCCAATAACAGATGTTAATATGATAAACTTTAAATAAGTGATTTACTAGGATTTCAATGCACCAAAGTATTTAAAACACATATAATAGTAAGATCATGCCTCTTGAAATCAAGTGTTATTATTATTATTTAGATTTACTTGAGCTTAAACTTAGGAAAGTTCTTACGTATTTTGTAAAATTGCTGAAGTTGGTGATGACTGGCATTGAAATGTGGGGAGTGGAAGATTATTGTGGCCAAAAGGAGTTATGAAAATGCAGGCTATCGTGAACAACCAGTGAGCAATAAAACAAGACACAGTGAAACAAGGTGGAGGTAGAGATGAAAGAACTGTGATACATTTATTCATAAACATTGAGGAGGGTTCATACACTTTTGCTGACATGATCACACGTTAACGTTATAGGAACACATACAACAAATTCATTGGTTTAGCATCTTCAGCCTGATTTTTCATTTACATTATAGCCCCTTTACTCCACTAAGTATAACCAAACTCTTAAGTGGTTCCTTGACACTTCCAAAGCATGTAAAGGAGATTCAGGACCTCTTTTACTCATACCTATATTATTCTATGATTTATTCCATGTAAACTACTTTATCAAAGTCTGAAAAAAATCTAAATTGCTGCTCAAAAAACCATCTCCTTTAAGCCTAGAACATTCTTAATCTTTTCAGTCACTTCATTGGTTACCTCCCATGAAACACTTCCTTAATCTTTTTGTTTTGAAAAATTGCAAAAAGAAGCCATTTGAGCTTAATAGTAAAAGAATGGTGTTTGAAGATTAATTAGCAAAGGCACCACTTTGCTTCATGTAAAAGAAGTAGTAAATACACCAGTGAAGTCAGTGAAAAGGTCAAGACCCTCTACTATGCATAAAATAATTTGCACACATGGATTATGTCAGTGTTTATTATTTAATCTCTCCTCTATTCCTTTGCTTTCTACTCTTAAATTCACACTTTCTTTTTCTTAGCTCCTGTAATGTGCTCAGGGTAAGGTATGGTACCTTCTTCTTCAGGTATGAATACACTTACAGTGAAATCACTTGTCTCTGTGCCGTATTTATTTTTCACCAGAAGGGCATATTTTCCCGAGTCAACTGTGC